TCTTTTATGGGACAGAGCATGAAGTATGAAGAGGGAAACATTTTTTTTAAGAAAAAGTGATTTTTTTAAATGTATCTAATGAACTAAAAACTAAGGAAATATTTTATATTTTTCTCTGGTCATAGAAAGAAACTTTTTCCTTTCATTTCACTCAGTTGAAATAATACACTTGCCTCAAGTCATAAATTTCAAACATTTCAGATACAAGAGCTCCTAAAGGTCATTGTTGACATGGCTTGCGCAGGCTTTTTGCCCTGAATCCTCGGTTTCCTGATTCTTCAACCACTGAGCAGTAATGTCATTCTCCTCACTCTGAGACTTTGCCATCATAAACATTTTCTAAAGGTTTAAAGAACTATAAAGTTGTTAGTTGGCAAATTTTTGGTCCTATTTATATAAAGAGTGGAGACATTCATAGGATCCGCTGCCTACCAAACCTGAGGCTGTTTCCCCAACACCTCTAATGGATATTACTTAAATGGAGGACAGAAGTTGAAAAGTGACAACCATGTGAAGAACCACATAATCCTAAACTTCTTGCTTACCACATTTTTCTGGTTCTTCCTTTTAAGAATCCTCTAGACACTGTTCTTTGACTACCCCAGACATTAATTCCTATTATAGGGAAGGAGAAAAATTGAATCAAATTTCTCAAATGCCTATTGTGCCAAACACATTAGTTATATCATTTAATCTAAGAGCCATAGCAATGTTACTGATGAAGAATGAGAGATGTAGAAGATAGATAAATTATCACCCATGGTCACACAGCCAAGGACATACATGTACTTTGTAATAAATCACTCTCTCATTCAAACTTTTGCCCACTTAACTCAGAAAAAATCTCCCTGTACTTATCTCTTTCAGTCCTTTTGTTAATCAAGTCAAAACAAAAAAATCATAAAAGTAATTCTAGTGATACACTTGAAACCAGAAGAAAGCTTTACGTGATAAAGGAACACTATACCTAAGAACTTCCATAAACCTTTCTGACCTTGAAAGTAGGTTTAGAATCTTTCTGAAATAATCATTCTATCTCTTTTTCTTTCAAATAAATGTTTGTCCTCAGGCTCCAACATTCAAGATAAATAAAACACTTTCTAATTTAATGCTACTTTGATTACTAGCATTGCAACAGTGTTTTCCAACATTTCATTCTTCCTTCCCTAGAGTCTTAGATCTTTGTAGTGTAGACTACAACCCACAGTAGCATTTACAACTTTATTTCTATGGAGAGAGGCACTCTGAAAGTTCCAAAGAGCTAATGTACAAATACTTGGTGGAACACAATGTTTTCAAATTGGGGACTGCTAATACTTACAAAATGAGTGTTCAAAACAAAAACAGATATTTCAACAGAAGCATTCAAGGACAGAGGGGTCTCATTGATTCAGCCTCTTACTGCCCCCTCCCACACATACACAAAGATGATTGGAGTCCTTAAAAAATAATCTATTATACGGCCAGTTCCAAAGGAAATTGAGGAGTGAGAAAAAAAGAACCAGAGCTGTAACTATAGCTCCTCAAATGACCACAAATATTACTAACAGTTTATTTTGTAACTTTGGTTAATTCCTATCTTAATAAACTTGATGTAAAATTCAGAGTTGCCCAATGAAGTACTGAAAATTCAAGATTAATGTTCACAATGAACTATTTTTTTTTACATATTACATTTTGTTTTTTTTTAAATAAAGGTCAAAACCTATTCTGACCTGAAATTTGAAGACAAGTAGAAAATCAGCAACAGGAAAATTTTATCAGAAATCTAATGTGTTGGACAATTTCAGTAGTTAACTGTTACACATGTATGTTAAGTGTATTTCTTTTGTTATATTACTTTTTATTTTTATTTTTCTCAAAAGGATTCTTCCATAAACTTCTACCTAGTACCTTCTAGAAACTTCCTATTAAGAAATATTTTTGCACTTTAATTTTTTGGAACTTACAACTTTATAAAATATTCATTCACCATACTTTATATAAAAACATTGTCACTCCCCCCCAACCCTGTTTATAATTATTACTATATTTAATTTTTGGCATGTTAATATAAAAGATAAATGTACCGTTTGTTAAACATTTTAAAAGCGCAGAAATCCAAGCAGTCAAATAACTTGGGGATTTCTTTGCACCTTGGGGGGGATATCTCTAACCAAAACCAACTTTAAAAAAATTACTTGATTCTTAAGATTTTATCTTGAAACACAAAAATTTACAAATTCTGAAAAAAGATACAGAGATATAAGCATTGGAAAAGGAAAAAGTAAGAATTAGGTTTGTAGGCAAACTTGCAAAAGGTACAAGGAAATCATACTTCAGGACTAGCTAGCCAAATCAGAACACACAGCAAGTATTTAAACAGAAAAAAAACACACGGAATTACTAAGGTTGCTAAGTTTGCATTAGACTATTCATAATGAAAAAACAGCAACTTTGTCACAATCATTGTATTCACAGAGATCATAACATATCTTCAGGTAGATGTGGTGGGTGAGTATGGATTTATGGGACAGGGTCAAGGTTTTATTATTTGGGGACCAGAACCATCACCTGTATTTTTGCTTTATCTCAAGATATAAAACATTGTTTTTCCAACTGTGGAATGAGAAGTGCTTATGATATTGAAATCGGGGCAAAGTGTCAGATTTTGCTTCAGTAAAATACAATTTCTAATTTATTGACCATCCAGTACTCTTCTTTTACCATGAATATACAGGACTTTGTGTGGTTATTTTAAAAGTTTTTACAGGGTTAATTTAGTTGATATGTCCCTTCCAATACCTTCTCTCTGATTTTTTTTTTAATTTGCTATAGCCCAAATATGAGCACTCCCACATATTTCTCATCCTACCTAACACAGACTGGCCCCATTTAAAACATATCCTATAATCAACCACCCATGCTATTTTCTTGTTTAACAAATCATTAAAGCTAGGCTTCACTCATAATAAATCTCTGTTTTATAAGAAATACAGGTATTAATAAAGTAATCTTAAAGTAACCTTCATAAAGGGGAACAGAAATAAACAGAGCCATCATTTTAAAAGCTGTAAACACAATACAGATATATCAAATTTAAAGTTTTTAGGAAAAAAAAATCATCTTTAAGACTATATGCTAAATTTTGAATATTTCCACTATAGGCGATGAGTTAAATGTACAAACTGGTTTGGTATCCAAATTAAAGAGCGCCAGAAGTAGAATTAGGTCTCCAACCCCCTTTTATCACCATTTTAACATACACTTAAAAGTAGTTTGTATTGCCTTTCTGGAATACTTAGTATACTATTTTTAAAGTTTCTAAATATTTTTGTGGCTATAAGAGATAATTCCATTCCTAAAACATAATAATTAAGATAATAAATCGTTTGGGGAAAAGATCATAAAGGGATTAGCTTTTAGGGTATTAACCCTAATTATTACCTATCTATCCATGAGGTAACTGAATTTTAAAGCTGTTGAAAATAAGCAGTATTATTTTACACTGATTCAAACCTTTCAACCTATCCACAACTTGCAAATGTAGTTTAAAATAAAAATTACTATTCTATCATTTAATTAAAAAAAAATGTTGTTTTCTTTTTCAGTCCTTCTAAACTTTGTTACCCTGCTTGGATATGCTGCACTCTTCTGGGCGTAGAATTTCATAGCAATTATGAGAATAACCAAGCCATAAGGTCAGTTTTATCAAACAACAATTTCCCATTAACAGAAACGTTGGAGGTATAACTCATGTTACACAGAACAAATATACAACAAATAATGATGGTTTAAATGAACAGTTAAAAGAAAACTGTAATAAGGATTTCTGATTTAATTTTGTGTTTTCTCATAGTCTACTTCTGAAACAACTGTACTGTAGGCATCTTGCTGTAAACTGCCAGCTCTTTGTTTTATAAATGGCAAGCCGAAACAGAGCGAAAATCACATTTCCAGAGAAGGGGGAGGCATAGGCTAAGGCTGCTACAAACTAGCTTTCAGAAATGAGAAGTCAGTAGTCAACTTTTTCCTCTCTGATAACTTTTTTTTTTTTTTTTTTTTTAGAGCAACAGGGAAATTGCAAACACATTTTGGAAAATAATGCTGTCTTGAAAAAAATCTCTATTGGACCAAGTCCTTACTTCCCTGGAAGTAATCACATCCAACACTTAATTTCAACACAGTGTTCAAATTTATTACTTGAAGCTATGGCATAAAACTGTCTTCTTTAAATGGAAAATTTGACCAACTTCTATGAGATAAATGAATTTTGAAAGTGGGAGTGGGTGGGGGAGGTATATAACTTTTTTTCTTCAAGTGGGTGGAGAAAGGATGCAGACGAAGAAGCATCCTAAGCAACCACAAAACGATGAGTATCTCAGGACGTAAAAGGATGTTAGACCAGAAAGCTCAAATGCTCTCCGATCACAGCTTCTCTACGGGGGACTTTTGGTTTGACTGCTACCAGGCACCGGGGGAATCCCCGTCTTGGGTAAAAAGAGGGAACTGGAGAAAAAGACACGTTCAGAACGACCCAGCGTCGGAGGATTCTCAGCGAGACCTGCCCTTCGGCGGACCCCTCGGACGGGGCTTCGCACGGCCTGGGGGGCGGGTCCGAGGGGGCGGCAGGGAGGTCCTGCGTCAGTCCGGGCACCTCTCCGGCCACTCAAGGCCAACGAGCCCCTGCGACCCGGGCCCGCGGACCACGCAGGATACACTCCCCGACCCAGAACCCAGCCCGCTTCCTCGCGCCCTGGGCCTCCCGCGCGGGTCTAGGCGGCCTCCCCGCCGCCGCTCCCGCCGGCCTCGCGCCTCCCAGACCAGCGACCTCCCCGCCCCCGGCCGGGCCCCCGCGAGGTTGCGCTTCCCGTAAACTCCCCGCCCCGCGCGGCCCCCTCCCCGCCTCGGCCCCGCCCCCGCGGGTCCCTGAGCGGTGCGTGATTGGCCCGGCCGCGCCATCACTCTCCGGACGCGTCACCGCCCTCGTTTCCGAACACCCGGAGACCGGCAGTGGTATTAGTGCTCGCGGGGCCGTGGTGGAGGGCAGCGTGCAGCCGTGCTAGCTCCTAGTCGCCCGCGGGTCGGCGCGCTAGCCCAGACGAGCGGCGACCAGGGCTGCGGGGCGGCCGGTCTGCACGGTCAGCCGCCGCCTGGGAAGCCGTGGCAGCTAGTCCCAGCTCCGAGATGGGGAGCTGGCGAAGTTGACTAGCCCCCAGACCCGCGCTGCGTCCCTCCTGCCCCAGAGGTGTGCTGCCCTCTCCAGGAGGTGCCCGCACGCGGCCCTGCTCCAGGTGTGCGCAGGACAGCCCGTCCCCCCGGGACCAGAAAACTTCACCCCAAGTCCAGAGAGTGAGCTCCGAGGGCGGTGTCCGGAGCCAGACTCCCGACTCCGCGCTGGGGGAGCTGTCCCGGCGGCTCACACGGCCGTCGGAGGGCGGAGACCCGCTGGAAACTTTATCACCATCACCGTAATTACTACATTTTACTGTTTCTCTCCCCGCAGGGGCTGCGGCCAGCGGTCTGTCGCGCGTGCTTGTTTGCCAAAGGAGCTGTCCCTGGGAGAAGACCCACAGAAGAGTTGTTTCCCCAGGGCATACCTGCAGCCCAGCCCAGGGGCTCGGGCGGCCTGGATGCGCAGGACCCAGCCCCGCAGCCGCTGACGCCGGGCGACGGCGAAGTTTGGCTGCTGAGCGGCGCGGCGCAGGGCCACTGGACAGCGGGCACCCCAGCGGCTGCGGCGGCTGGAGGGATGCCGGTGGGGGGCCTGTTGCCGCTCTTCAGCAGCCCGGCGGGCGGCGGCCTGGGCGGCGGCCTGGGCGGGGGGCTCGGCGGCGGCGGCAGCGGCGGCAGGAAGGGATCCGGCCCCGCCGCCTTCCGCTTGACAGAGAAGTTCGTGCTGCTGCTGGTGTTCAGCGCCTTCATCACGCTCTGCTTCGGGGCGATCTTCTTCCTGCCCGACTCCTCCAAGCTGCTCAGCGGGGTCCTGTTCCACTCCAGCCCCGCCCTGCAGTCGGCCGCCGACCATAAGCCCGGGCCCGGGGCGCGCGCCGAGGACGCGGCAGATGGGCGAGCCAGGCGAGGCGAGGAGGGCGCGCCCGGGGACCCGGCGGCCGCCCTGGAGGACAACTTGGCCAGGATCCGCGAAAACCACGAGCGGGCTCTCAGGGAAGCCAAGGAGACCCTGCAGAAGCTGCCCGAGGAGATCCAAAGAGACATCCTGCTGGAGAAGGAGAAGGTGGCCCAGGACCAGCTGCGTGACAAGGCTGTATTCAGGAGGCTGCCCCCGGTGGACTTCGTGCCCCCAGTCGGGGCGGTTGGCCGAGAGCCGGCCGACGCTGTCATCCGCGACAAGAGGGCAAAGATCAAAGAGGTGAGTGCACCGTACTGGAAACCCCTCCCGCCTGGCAGCGTTTTTTTGGGAGAAAAAGACAAACCTTTGAAACTCTAAAGACTGTAACATTACGGTATAAGGGGACAGAGAGCTTTTCAGCTTCCACCAGGTGCAATGGCAAAGGCTCTTTCGTTTTCCTTTTTTTTACTATCACAGTAGATGTGGCCAATTAAGATCTGAGGTTGAATCCCGTTGCTTTTAATTTGCGTGCTCTGGTAAGCATAAACCACGTGAGGTAGGTATTAAATACATGGGCAGGTGAGGTGGTGTGCAAACCTCCTCTTTCACTGGCCTCCACACAGTTAATCGTCCCTGAGAACATTGACAGTGAAGGTCCCAAACAGCCCCCTATTGAGGCTTGGACGTGGCTCGAAATGAAGGTTGTATGTAAACGCAAAGCATTGATCACGCAGGATAAAAAGGTTCTAACAGCAAGCCAGCACTCCCTGGCCTTCAGTCTAGTGTCCTTATGCGGCCAGGTGGCATCCTGTGTGTGCTTATAGATTATAAAGGTGAAACTTGAGAACTTTCTATCATAGGGGGCACACTGTTGTTTATTTACATTTTAAAAAAATGAAAAATTTAAAAAGCCAGCCAATTGTCTCTTGCATTTCTGGTGTAGTGAGAAAAAGAGTATTTTATGTAATGCAACAGGTTTGCCTCCACAGCAACACAAAAATGACAAACTTAATCCAAGACAAACATGGACTTCAATAAGTTTTTCATAATTTATTTCCTGTAATTTTCAGTTAGCACTTGTAGCATATGGCCACTTAACTGGCTTAAAGCTGAGGGGGACCTTTAAAGTAATTTAAGACTGTCAATTTAAAGATGAAATTTGAGGAGCCCAGAGCCCTAGAATTAGTGACCAAGTTAGGACTTGAAGCCAGGACTTCTCCTGGTCACCTGTCACCAGTCAGCAGGCTTTTTGTGGACATGCTTCCTTCCACAGCTACTCTCCTGTGTGAAACTATACCAGCCTGAATTTTAACACAATCCAAGAGCTGTAGGAACCATATTAAGAGCATTTCATCCCAAATCTTGATTCAGATTTCTAAAATGTGTTATAAGTGGAAGTAATATTTTGGCATTAAAAAAATGTCAGGGTCTCTGTGAAAATAAATTTTGTTTTGACGTTGGGTAGGTAATCAGGAAAGGAAGTGGCCTCATTCTCCCATTTTCAGAGAGAAAACAATTTTGAGTTGGTGAAGAGGTATTTACCTTGAGTACCTACAGAATGGAGGCAGCTTGATTGTTACAGGATTTGTGACTTTAATATAAGACCAGATGAATTCGGTTTAGCTGTAATTGAGCAAGTTAAAGTAGATTTGGGTGCCTTTCAGTTTACCCTAGGCACAAAGAGGGTGTCTTCATCCTTCTGTGCAGATAGCTTCCTTCAAGCCCATCAGCCTTTCTGCTTTGGGACCCTTCTTCAGGCATAGAACCTCCCAGACTTGGAGGAATGGATTTTATGCCCCCGGACAACTTTTCCGTAGCAGATTGCCTTCTCCATGAAATCCTGTCAGGGATACCAAACCAGGAAAGTAGATAAAAAGCTCTATTTCTCACCAGTTTCCCTCATCTCTTCATCTCCCATCCTCCTTAAAAATATCCAAACAAAATCATAGGTAAATTAACCCTAAATCTATATGCTTATGTTTCCCTTAAGTTTAAAACAGTGTAATTCACACATTTCATGCCTCTAAATTCTTATGAGCTGCCAGTTAGTGTAGATCACAGTTGTCCAAGGAAATTATTTTAAATACTGAAGATGCATGGATGTTGAAAAGCTATCCGTACCAACCAATAGTGATTAGAAGTGCGTTTAGAGCCGAAGCAGTGGGAATTGAGGTCAGCATATTAACAGTATGCCTGTCTACCCCTACTGGATCCATGTTATCTGTCTCTCTAAATCAAAAGGTCTTAATTAGCCATGTAAAGAAAATTTACGTAGCCTTCTGTTTCTGTGTGGTGCTAACATTTTAGCACTTAGATGTTTTGAAACTGCCCAGTCTTGCATAAAGCGGTGGAACTAAATGTGTTCCTTGAAATTCCGTGTTGCCGTGAGAACACAAAAAAGCTAGCATAATTAGCTTCAGTATTTAGTCAAAAGCTAATGGGAAGAAATGGATTATGGTTTTTCATCAGATTAGTTCAGGCAGATGCATTCCTTTGTAAACCCAAAAAAAAAAAATGCTATTCTAAAACTGTGCTGAAAATGTTCAGTTTTAGAAAGGAAAGAGTGGTTACCTATTGTAAATAGAGCACTGCACTTTAATTTCACACTTTTATTTTCAGTTTCTGGCACCACCGTGGACTTTTTGTCATGGACCAGTAGATCTTTGTCTTGGTTTTGATCTTTATTGTCCCTGTATTTTCTAGTTCTCTTTATATACTTAGGCTCTCTCAGGTGTTAGTACACCTGAATGTATTAACAGTTTTATAGCTAAAATTTAGAAAGTATAGGCAAGTCTAATATGTTGAGAGCTTAGACTATAATTTCTGAGCCAAACATTTAATTTGTAAATTTAATTTAAAGACAGCTAATACTATTTTAATAATGCCAACACAATTGTCTTACTGGTACTTTGGTAAATTTTTAACAAATTTGTGCGTAGAAGAGACAGTCATAATTTCAAATAGGATATTGCCTAGCTCCCTTCACAAAAAGCCATTATATGCTTTCCAGTACTAATTCAATGGATGGTAAAACTTTGATGTAATACTTAAAATTGAAATCAAGATGCTCCCCCCACCCCATGAAAACTTTTAAAAAATCAACTCTAGAATTTCCCTGAATTTTATGATACATAGAATATATTTTCATGAGTTTGATCTTTTAAAAATTATACTCAAGTTATCCTTAGTTTTAAAAAGCAGTATTAAAATAATGAAGGACCGAAGTTAAAATAACACCATGGAATTTTTAAACAAGTAGTCTAGTTCCTCTTCTACCTTAACCCTTTTTTTAAAATCAGGAAGCTTTTTTTCTTTCTTTTCTTTTTTTGTTTTGTTTTGAGCCTATACAAAGAACTTGTACTGTCTTTTAGGATTAGAGCCATAATCCTAATCTAGAGGATGAATAATTTTGGTTTTCATCTCCTGGAATTATGGGGAGTCCTTGAGTAATAGGGGCTGAAGACATCTTGTCAGAGGGAATTCCTCCCTTCTCATACTGGAGTCTCCACCAACCTAAATGGGGTAGGAGTGAAGGGGCTGACACTCAGCTTGGGGTCTCTCAGGTAAGGCTTTAGGATTGGTCAGCCATGGCAGTCCCAGTTGTCTTTAGGTTTCTCAAAGCATTCTTTAGTTTTTTATTCCAGACCTACTTATATGATCATAAGTTTAAAGAAAATGTTCATATTGGTGGCTAATGGTTAAAATGTATTTTTATGCCTTACACAGTAGCCTTATGTTGTTCTTGAGTCTATTATTTATGTTAACTTTTGATGATTAACCCTTTTATTAAAGATCAGATGTAGGAATAGTCTACCCAGACAAATACTTTTATTTTGAAGACTTAACTTTCCAATTTATCTGTATGGGTAGTTCTGGTATGGAAAATAATATTTGCAAAATAATAAAAGCCAGAATTTGAAGACCTGACTCCAGAGGAACTTCAATACCCTTGAGTTACCCTGCCTGTTCTGCTCACCCTACTCTGAAACGTACCTGACATTGACCAGAGGCAAAGGCAAGATTCCCCTACTCTTAGGTTTTTCCCCAGAGCAGGTAGGTCATAGAGTACTTGTAAAATTTTTTTCTCTTTAATAAGTAAATGAATAAATTAAGATTTCAGCCGTGTTAAGTGGTAGAGTAGATCCTGACTGTTGAACTTTAATACATGAAAGCAAGAAAAGATTGTTAATGGTTGATCAATTATGTTCAGTTTAATTTTCTGTAAGCTATTGATAATTTGAGAGGAATATTCTGTCTTCCTCTTACCAGGTAACTTAAGATTCGTAGGCCTTACAACCTAGCTAAGGTGTGAAAAGTGGTTTAAAATAATGCATTTTTGAGTCAATGCTTCTGTATTTTTTAGGTGAGCTGATCAAATAAACCATCCTGAGAAATTTATCTTAGTATTTCACATGCATAATAAGTGCCTTTGTATGAAATCTGAGTTTGTTGGAATTCAGTGGAAAACTTACATATTTTATTGAATTATTCCATAAGCTGTGGTAGTACAAATTCTTCAGTAAAGAGAGTTTCAAGCATGTGTCTCAGGGTCAGAGGGGAGGAATACCTACAGATCAGTGTGAGTGATGAGAGATAAACATACATGGGTAGATCAGAATTGCACTGGAACCTGCATATAGCCCATAGCCCAATAGAGAACCTGTGACCTTTTAAGTTCTTTATAACCTACAAAACCATAAAAATGTGTGTGTTTGTCAAAGATGAGTATCAATTGATCAAAATAGGAACATCCACCCCATGGATTCCAGAGATACTGTGAAATACCTCTCCCCTAAGCAGACAAAAGAGTAATGTAGAACTACCAATATTTAGTAGTTTAAGGAAGAGAATTATTTCTTTGGGAAAATTAAGTCATGACTTTTCCCTTCAGTTCTTAGCCTCGTGTCTTGTTTAGTGTTAAATAATTGAACTACCGCTAACCAGCCCCACCTTAACCCTCACTCCCAAATCTGCTTTTAAAGATCCTTTATACAAACTATGCAGGTTTTTTCTTTTGCCAACAATATGCCATAAAAATTTTAACTCTCTGATTTTTAAAAGTAAACATATGCTCTAAGTCATATTGTTCTGTATAAGTCCTTAGAGATAGCTCAGCTTGTTCGTTTTACAGTAGATGCAACTGAGACAGAGATTATTCTGGAAATCATATTAGAGTTGAGTTGAGGAGGAAGCTGGATCCTTGGTGAGTGTTGCTCACTGTCTTAACATGGCTTGCCTCCTAAATAAAATGCCACAGAAGTATATAAATGGACTGGCCATATTCATCATTTGCAGACTCT